TATATATATATATATATATATATATATTAACCATTAATGTTATAAATAGTATAAGTGTTGAATTTTAACTTTTAAAATTCTAAGTGTTGGAATTAAAGTTTATTAAAGTGTGTGAAACTTTTCCAAATTCCAAAACTTGAGGACAAGTTTTGTAACTCTTCAAAACTTTTCATTTCATAACTTATGAATTAAAGGTTCATAAAATGAAGACTCTTCATTTTATGTAACTTATGTGTTTTTAATGTGTGTTAAAGAAAAGTGACCTTTGGATATCCATAACTTGAGGACAAATTATGGACTCCATTAAAACACATAAATGATCAAGAATTAATCCTAAACAATTCAGCAAATAATTCCTATCATCTTCTAAATTCATAAGAACATGAACATGATTATCAAAGTTTCAAAAATTATATGAACACATACAAAGCATGAAATTTTGATATATGCTATTGTAAATGGATTAGAACAACCATTACACCAACTAAAATAAGTTTTAAAACATCAAAACAGTTTGGGGTAAAGTTTCTAGTCCATTTCCAGCAGCAAAAGTCGAAAATCTGCATTCTGAACCTTCTACTCGCCGAGTGCACGAACCTACTCGGCGAGTAGGATGAATTTTGCCTTGGACTCGGCGAGTCCCCCCATGGACTCGGCGAGTCCATCATGCAGACAGCAAAAATTTCGACTTTTTTCACTATTTTGCATCAAGTATCAAACAAGCAAGCCTAGGCTCTGATACCACTGTTGGGTTTTGAGCAATCTAACACTTCCTAAGTGTGCATGCAACCCTAATAAACCTTGGATCTATGTTTGTCTAAATACATGCAAAATAATAATTTTCCAAGGTTCATAACCTATCTAACATGGCATGGGTACTTTTAAACATAAAAGAATTAGATGAGATTACATACCTTTTTGATGAGTTTGATTCTTAAGGAGTTTGAGGGCCAAGCACCAATAGTGTGAATGCCTCAAATGGAATCACAAATCACCACAAACTCTTGGAAAACTTTGAGAGAGTGTATACACACTACAATTTTCGGCCACACACAAACACACACACTAGTGGCTATTTCATGCAACATAAGCATGCTTATATAGTGTACATGATTAGGGTGAAACCCTAATAACCCATGACCTTTCCTTTTCCAAGGATCCATGGGTTAAAAGCTCCATGGATCATCCATGGACTTCCATACAAGCCTAGCCCATTAACAAATGAGTGTTAGCCCACACCATATAAAACCAATAGCCCACAATCTAATTAGTCTTCCTTTTAATCTCTAACTTAATTCATAATTAATTTAAGACTAAGACTAATTAAATAACTTGACTTCATATAATATATTATAACTTATAATATATTAATAATCATATGTGTATAACTCTCATAAAATTATCCATAAATAGTTTGGATGAAATGCAACCTAAATGGACCATGCCGGGTCGGGTCAAGTATATACCGAATAAGTTATGGACTTAGACACCTTATCCAACATATATATGATATCAAACTCCAAGTAGGAAAAACAAAATTCAAATAGAGAATCAGACATAAAGTGTGAAATAGTATAAAGACTTGTACTCCCGGTAAACTTACATCATTTGATTATGATTTTGGTTCACATTGCTTACATGTTAGAATGATATCTTAATCACCACCTAGTTATATATTCAAAAGGTTGAAAAAATGGGCAAATTACCCTTGAGAAGATCCTTAACTTTCTTAGTCTCAATTTATTTGTTTATCCTTATGTGGGAGGTTTAGGGATAATTGGAGGTCAAATGCTAAGGGGTTAGGATTTACAAATCATTATTAATCCTTTAAGAAGTCTACACGGTCGTGTAACTTTTTCTATGGGAGTTACACAACCGTGTAGCTCACAACACACCCCCAGAAACTGAGTTTGTACTCTTAAGTCAATGTACGTTTCTCCTCTTACTCCCAAACACTACCAAAATTTCACCAAATAGTCTTAATGACCTAAAAATATCTTAATATCATTATTTCATCTCTTTTAATTCCTACTACTCTTGATTTAATAGTTACGGCATTTTGACATCACAAGATCTATAGGGCAGCTCATGTAGATATCATAACATCAACAATGATTTCTAATCTCTTAATGTATTCCAAATTCTTCAATCATCATTCCAATCAATTAATAAAATCTTAATGGACATCTAAAAATCTTAATTAGTTTTTATACATCTATTAAGCCATTTAATTCATGATTCCATCAACCATACATGATTCCAATCCTGATTGTGAAATTATGATGCTTTATTTCTTATAAAACATTTGTGAGTTCAATTAGATATTTAAACCATTTTAAAACCTTATAGCGTATGGAGTTTTGAAATAATTTATTCCCTTTTAATGTTTACAAAAGGGTTTTAAGGTTAACATTAGTTAAAAACAAGTTTAGTCCATTTCAATGGCGAATATTATAATTACCAACTCCAATCACATAGAAAATATAGGGATCATCATGAGGATTAACATAGATAAGCAACTTACTCCATGAATATAAGTTAAATCTATATTTGAATTCAAAACTTCAATCACAATCTATAGTGTAAGTTTCTAAAGCTTAAGTATAACTTCAAACATAAAGTTTGGGTTTCAATTTACCCAAAGCCATTATGAATGATGGAATCATCCATTTCATGGGGAAATGATGATCACTTACTGTTCTGTAATACCATTTAATCTCACATTTTTTTTGTTAAACCAATGGGTTAATCTATCGATTCGAATCTAAGAGGTTAGGGTTAGGAACCCCCCCCCCCCCTCCTTCTAAAATAAAAACTTTATTAATTATTCAAATCTGATCACACCTATGAGTTAGGTGTTGTCTGAGAATTGATATATGAATGGAATTACAATATAAAACTCAAATAAATATGAACATATCAAGGAAATTTGAGATTATACAATGAACCTCGAACCTTATAATTCAAATTTAAGAATGGTTCCTTCAAGCTAGGGTATAAAAGAGATTTGACCATAATTTCAACAAATTAACTTGCAACCTTTAAATCACCATGGAAATAAAAGGAAATAACTCATGGAGAAGCTCTTAGGGGCTAATACATTTGAATGAGGAGGAGAAAAGTGGGTTGGAGATCTACTGCTAAAACCATGAGCATTTGGCCAAAATAGTCCCTCAAACTTCAAAAGCTTACATTTAAACCATCATTTTGACTTGGAAATTTACCAATACTTTAATATTTTCCTAAATAGTATTCCTCATATAATTTATGATTTTCAAGTCCTATTTTGGTCGACAATAGTCAAGTTTAAACTTTCATGAATTTTCAACTTTGATCTCTTAATCATTATTTTTCAAATTTTGAGTCTATCAAACTTATAGTTTATTTATATCATGATATTTATTATATACTCCGTATTTTATTTTTTAACTATTAATTATTTGTTTTTAAATTATTTTTCACTAAAAAGACAAACTTCTAGGCCAATTTTGAGGATGTTATATAATAAAAGTTTTATATTTTTAAAATAATAACAAATTGCAAAAAATCAATAAAAAAATATTTTGGTCATATAAGAAAATTTACTCTCCATTTCTTTTGACAAATTTACAAACTAAAAAGAAAATATATTGCATTTTATGTAAACCAAATGCATAACAAATCCTAATTCCTCCAAACTCTAATTCATTTGACATATTTCATTTTTTTAAAAACATTTTGCAAACTAAATCTAAACATCCATTGTTGATATGTTTGAAAGATAAAAATTATAATGTTTATTTATATATAAACGATCAACAAAAATAATTATAAATTTTTAGAATGAAACATAAAGGTCCTAAAAGTTCTAATAGAACTAGTTGAATGTAATTTTATATTGATTTAGAACTAGTTGAATGTAATTTTATATTGATTTTTTTTGTTGATAATAAAATTTTGAAGTTCGTATTCTCTCATTCTCAAAGGAAACCTTTTTTTTTATTCTTTTAAAAACGAAAAGCTAAAATCTTTTTAAAAAGTTTGTTGTCGACTGTAGCCTTAGTATTTCTATATATATTTCATGAGTCTTCAAAATTTAATAAATTGCAAGATTATCATTGTATTTTTATTATTTATCATTTATTTTTAGTTTTTTACCTAATTTTTATAAATATATAAATATTTTACAAATAATTAAAAAAATCAATATTCTAATTATAAAAACATAACAGTTTACTAAACTCAAATTTTATAAGATATTTTATTTAGATCCGTACTACAAAATTTAGAGATTATATAGATAAATGACACTCATTTTTAAATTGAGATTTTCTAACATGTGTCCTAAAAGCATACATAAAAAACATCAATTGAACTATTAATTATAAAAAATATTATTATAATTAAATGTGGAATTTATTAATATAGAAAATATTTTTAATAGTTAATGCATTTCACATTTATGATAATATTTTCCATAATTAATAGTTCATATGTAAGCCCTTAAGATATATATTAGAAAATCTCTTATAAATTTTATTTTTTTATATTTTATAGAATTTAGATATTATATTATACAAAATCCAAATCATAAATTATTATATAAATATCAAATTTTAGTTATAACTTATATACTTCGGTAGTATTATCTAATAAAAAATCCAAAGTATATGAAATTATTTTATAAAACATAAATTAATTTAATTAATGCTTTAATCAAGATTCATGTTTATAATATAAATTTGAAACTCAAACCAATTGAACCATTCGATAGCCATTAAACTTGATCATTCATCTTCGTCCATAATCATTTACCCACAATCTCTTCAATCCTATTCATCATGTGCTCAACCTACATCAAAATTCAAAAAGTGTTTTAAATTGTGACCTCTAAATTCTCAAAAAATATTGTTGAACACGTAATCTATGTAGGACACAGGTGTGCAATGTCCTCGATGCTGACGTCTCTTTATATTATATTTATACCTTTCTTTTTTTTACTTTTTTTCTTCCTTCCGATTATGGACAAACTCAGTCGTACACAACCGGCGTTCACGGAGCCGGAGATGGAGGTGGCTCTGCAGCTTATTCAACTCTGCGGTGACTCCGATGAACTCCATCCAAACGAACTTAGTAATTCCCCCTGCAACATGTTAAAGACGACGAATAGGAAAAGAAAACGAAGAAAAGAGATCGTGGATGATGATGATGATGATGAAAGTCAAGGAAGTTGTACTTCCGGTGTTTTCTTCATTACCCCGTCGTTTATGGATATGGACGATGATGACGTCGCCGGAAGCAGAAGGAAGAAGAGGAAGTTTAGATCCGTCGTTGAAATCTATCAGATAAGTAACTAATATATGTTATTCAATTTAACTTACGGATTGTAAATTAATTTCGATTGTAGATTTGTTTATATTCATAGTTTACATGATGAAATAAATCACTGAAAGTTTCAAAATCTCTATGCTTTGGTTGCAAGTTATTGATAGAAAGAACAACAAGTTGAATGCGAAGAAACACATCGTTTTTAAGCATAAGAATTATTCGCAGGATTGAGTGATCATGGATCAGAAAATATAATCGCATTACACACTTAAATTTAGCTTGATTGGGGTGGTTATTGGATTTTTATGGTAGTTATGTGGAGGTAGTCTATCAAACACAAAATCATATTTTTCATGAATTTAATTAAGAAGTGGTTACGAACATTGCGAAATTTCATTCACTCGTTTACAGATTTGTTTTTTCCTAACAAAAGCAAATCAATAACTATTTGTATGAAGTATACATCATTCACAAGATGTTAATATTACCATCTCCGCAACCCTTAATAAGAGTATTTATTGCATATATATATAGTAAAGGAACATCACTTTTGAGCAAAGGATTATACTTTATCTACAATGATTTAGTTATGTATTGCGATATCTTTAAATATATACTCCTATCTATTATTTTAAATGATGATAGAATGGCATGTGTCGTATAAATATATTAAAATAGTTTTTTATTTTTATTAAATATGACACGTATAAATGATAGATAGAAAAATGTATAAAAAAATATAGAAATACATTTAATATCTCATGTATCTCATATTAATGGACACATTTAGCCAATATGGGACTAGCCATTTGGTAGAGATGAAACCCTCTTAAATTGAAGGTTTGGGGTTTAAACTCAGGCATAGACAAACTAACTTATTTGGTAAATTTGACTTTTAACGACTAATCAACCGTTGAAAAAAAAATGACACATTTATGGAGTAGCCCGAAAATGTTGAGATAGACTTGGCGAACACCATGCCATGAACTCGACATGTTGGGTTTGGAACCCCAACTTGGCATCGACTATATGATGAGAGAGAAAATTCAACTTTTAAAAAAATATTCATTTTTTCATAAAATTTCAAAATTTAATCCAATTTCAATCATTATAAATACCAACAACTATCTAATTTTTTAACAAACAACATTCTTCAATTTTTCATTCAAATACTCTTCTTATTTTATGAAAAATGGTTTCTTCTAATTCTCCATGCAACCTAAAAACACCAAGAAGAAACAAAAAAAAAATACCCAAATTACAACAACTTCAAACCTTTCATTACCTATCTTTTTCCAAAATCATATGAATCGTCCTATTTATTCGTCTACTAATCTCCATTGTCCCAGTGCTCATCTCCATTGTCCCAGTACCAGTACATACTACACTTCATCTCTTATTCAATCTTAATCTAACCTCCATTACAATCTCAACTCTAACCTCAATTCCAATCTTGATCACAATCTCGATTTGAAAATGATTTCAAACCATTTGAGAACATTGTCGAAACCTAATTCTGATTCCAATCTCAAACCCCATCCTAACCCCAATTCCAATTTGAACCCTAAAGCGTACCAAAAACGGATTCCAAACTTGAAGATGTTCAACCTAAACTGGAACCTAAGAAAAAAGGAAAGACACCTTCTAAGGATTGGACACTTGAGGAAGAGAAGGCTTTTACACATTCATGGGTTGATTAGTTGTTTCGGAAGACACAACAGTGGGGAACAACCAATATGCGCAAACTTTTTACCAAAAAGTTACAAAGTGTTTTCTATCAGAAATAAATCTTGGAGACTACCGAAAAAAGATCAAATTTACTAAAAGTTGAGGAATACAAACAAAGTTGTTATGGAGTTTAACACTATATGTGTGAGCGTGAAGCACAAGTGGCAAAGTGGTGCGAACAATGAAACAATATTTTTTAAAGTGTTGGGTTTTATTAAAAAATAGTATATAGTAAACTACGAGTTTAGCAGCGAAAGCGTTAAAATTTAAATAACATTAAAACAATTTTATACCCACCAAGGATCATTTTTCATGACATGAAAATATTAAGTCAACCATAGAAGGTAAAGATTACAACCTTTGAAGAATTTGATTCTCGTGGGAGATTGAAATTATGAAATGAGGCGAAAGACTCAAAGTAGAGGTTCTCTACAAGTATCCATCAAACAAGAGTAAGGTACCAAAGATGCTAGTTTTTATTTGTATTACACATTTCTTCAGCCTTAAAGAACTTATATCAAATAAGTCTAAAAAGAGAAGTATCTTAGAACACCCAAACTACACAACATATTACAAGAGAGATGAGAGCAGATGAGCATAATGTGATCTCTGCATTTGGCTCAAAAGAAAAAGAAAAACTAGCAAGTTTTTAGTCCTTACTTCTTTATATACACACGCATCTTAGATGAAGGCCATACTTCCATTAAATGAAATCAAGACTTCCAGGCAACATTAAGTATCTAAGACAACGTCAAAGAAGCAACCAAGCTATGCTTCCGCCTGTTTAATATATATGCCTAAGAATCATTATAGAGTGACATTGCTAATAATATATGATCCTATAAGGTCACATATGTATCAAGTTGGCACATTTTTTATATTTATTATTAATATGATTTGTAACATCTCGAGTCCTGACATACCTTTAAACCCTTGATCTTTTGAGTACTTGTCCATTTTAGCCCTTTATTGAGAAAAGGCGGCAAATGAGTATGAGGGGCGTATGCAAGTGTACGCTCAGCGTACTCATATGCGTTCATTTGACGCGGAAACCACCTAGTACGTTGGGCGTACTAGAGGCTACGCTGAGCGTACTAGGCCCAGAGTGAAAATCCTAATTTAGGGTGAGTCCCTTATATAAAGGATATGATGGCCTCATTCCTGGCCACTATTCTCAAACAAAAAACCCTCGTGTGCCCTAACCTTTGTGCTTAGAGCTTGTGAGTGCATTTGAGAGCCTTTGAAGGCCTTTTTGTGTTCTTTAAGTGAAGGAGAAGCTTTGAAGAAGAAGGAGTGAGAGTCCATGCCCTTGGATCTGAGCATATATGTGTTGAGCGCTTCACATGGAGGTATAAAGCTTCAAGCTTTTTTACTCTTTTGATTTGTGCATCATAGTAGAGTATTTTAGGATTTTTGTCCCAAAAGTTGGAGACTTTATGAGATATTGAGCTCCAGAGACTTTGATCAAACCCTTTGAGTGTATTTAGTGGTGTAATGTCATAAAAATCCAATCTTGGACGTTGGAATCAAGCCATGCATGAGTTATGAGCTTTTGAGATAAGAGAGAGTGTTTTGTCTGTTTGTGACCATATCAACATGTAAAGGCTTAACGTCACTAACTTTATGGAGTAAGAGCTATTAGGGAGTCCAGATTTATGATATGAGCCAAGGTCATAACTAATTAAGACCAAATTAATGAGAAGAGTGAAATTGGGGCGTATGTTGGGAGTAATCCCAGTACGCGCAACGTAGGGGTCGAGCATCTCTGATGCCTGCATGGCAGCTGAGTACGCCCAACGTAGAGAGCTGTTACACACAGCGTACTCCATGTCGTTGACTTTTTGGTTGACTTTTAGGGTTTGGCCAATTTGTGGACTATTAAGCCTATGGAGGGGTAAAATGGTCTTTTACCATTCTGTGAGTTATAAAAGTGTAACATCCCAAGATTCAAGGCCAAAAATTTCAATTTTTAAATAAGTTATTATAAAACCAACAGTATAAGAAACATCCATCATATCATGTCATGTCAAAACCAAAGTCGAAATAATTAAAACATGTTATCATAAACAATATCAGAGTGTAATCTCAAAGATCTCATGTCTGGAAAAACCATAGTGTGATGTAACATCCCAAAATACGACCCAAAAGTTTTTGTTTAATAATTATTAAAAAGATCATGTCAATATCATAAAATAAAACCCATACGTCAATATCTCAAAACCATAGCAAAGTATCACGAGAAAACTGTATCAAGACTGTATCAAATCACATCTATGAAAAGCTAAAACAACTCCCAGGACAAACTGAAGTTGTGGTGTGTGCGATGCCATCAACCCGATCTCTTCCCTTTACTTGCGGAAGTACCTGAAACCAAAACTGAAACTGTAAGCACAAAGCTTAGTGAGCTCCCCCAAACTACCACATACCATACAATAACATATAACACATATTGGGCCTTTCCCACTGCATCGGACCGAAGTCCAGAAACTGCATCGGACCGAAGTCCGGAACTAACCAGGGTCTTGCGCTTTGCATTGGATCGAAGTCCACGACTAACTGCATCGGACCAAAATCCGGAACTGACTGGGACCTTGTCCCCTGCATCGGACCAAAGTCTGGAACTAACTGCATCGAACCGAAGTCTGGAAACTAACTGAGCATAACATAGCATAGCATAAACATATCAACTAGCATGAACACATAAATTGCATACTGTGTCGGGTCGTAGCCCGGAACACATAACACATAAATACTGTCTGAGCCACGATGGCATCAAACATTCTAACTACTGCATCGGACCGAGGTTCGGAAACTACTACTAATTAAATGGGCCGACATTGTGGCCTTAGACCCGTTCTTACTGGGAGGAAACTCACCTCGTGATGCTGACTGCTGAACTCCTGAATGAGAAATCCCTGACTGCTGCTCCGGCTGCTTCCCAGCTCTTTTGAATGCCAAATGAAGGAATGATCCCAGATCTATGAGCTCAAGGTGCTCAAGTTCTTCTTCTTCCACTTCTCTTCTTCACCTTCTTCACAAAAATAATCTCAAAGATCAAACACACACAAGCAAGGAGCAAAGGGGACGAACTAGGGTTTCTCTGGAGTGAATGATAAGTGAGGAGGCCAAATGGGAGGCTATAATGGGGTTTAAATATGCCTTAACCCCTAAAATTAGGGTTTGCCACCTGGTCGCGTATGTTGGGTGTACCATAAGGTACGTTGCGTGTACGCTCAGCCTCCCCGCATTTCTTTTAAGCAGTATGCCCAGCGTACAAGGGGTCATGCCCCGTGTACGACTT